ATACCACACAGGCTCATTATACATAATCATAAAAAAGCACATCCCCTGCCAGGAACCTAACGGCTCACACTTGTAATCCTAGCTACTCAGGAGGCTGAGATCTGAGGATCAAGGTACAAAGCCAGCCTGGGCAGGAAAGTCCTTGAGACTCTAATCTCCAAGTAACCACCAGAAAAAAAACCAAAAGTGGTGCTGTGGCTCCAAGTGGTAGAGCGCTAGCCTTGAGCTGAAAAGCTGAGGGACAGCGCCCAAGCCCAGAGTTCAAGCCCCACGACCGACATAAATCAATCAATCAATCAGTCAATCAATCTCTGGAAAATACATAGCTAAGTATAATATAAAAAGGTTTTCTACAGTTATAAATCAAACACTAGAATCTCTCCTAAATGAAGTTATGGGAATCATTTATTCTATTTGGGTTCTACTTCTTCAAAGCAGACACAAAGCTGCATCACTATCTCTTATCCAAACCCTAGAAGGCCAGATGCTTCTCAAAATAAGTGCTTTTCAGATTTCAGGAAGGCACCATAAATGATATCACATCTCCGTCTCACAGACAGACAGACACACACAGACAAACACACACACACACACACACACACACACACAAATGGAAAGTAAAACTTTCAGGTAAGTGACAAATACATTCAAAATATTTTTAAGTATATACAAATTACTAAGTGACCAGTAAAGGAAAACATCCTACTTTTTCTACATAACTCACTGTTTTGCATTTTGCATATTGTCTTTAATTATTAAGATACCGTAAAACATTTTATGATTTTACAGCATGGTCCCCAAAGTGACTTGCAAATATCTGCATCTGTATTCTGGAATAAAAGCTGTCAGAAAACACTAATGATCCTATTTCTAGGTCATCCCTAGTAGTATATTAAACGAAGATGCCATATCAGCATGATCTGAAGAGTTGAATTTTAAAGTAGAAATCAAAGAGAAAAGCTAAAGAAGAAAGTAAAATTAAATACTGCTTAAGCTCAAAGGCTCAATTAATAATCAAGGTAAAAATTATAAAGCTGGAGTGAGGGCTCATGTCATAATCCTAGTTTTTGAAGGATCATGGTTAAAGACCAGCTGGGGCAAAAAGGTCCTGGGACCCCTCACATACAACTAATAAAAACTGAGTATTGACATGGTGACAAGTACCTGTCATCTCCGTAACAACCATAAATAGAATCACTATCCAGGCCAGCTTGGGCATAAATGTGATCTTTTCTATACTTGAGAAATAACTAAACGCAAAAAAGGAGTAAGGTATGTATGGCTCAAGTGGCAGAGTGCCTACCTAGCAAGCATGAGCTCTTAAGTTCAAACCCAGTACTCCAAAAATAAACTTAAAACCCTACTTTTCCTTCTACATATAAAAGCAAACTTTCTACTGCAGATAAAAATTTTAGTATACCTTTCTTCAAAGTATCTAATATTGTATCACAATGAAATTCAATTCCATTAAGTATCACCAGCAGAAATCATCTTTGGCCAGGAAGAAGTCATCCAGATCAACAAACAGAATGACTCCCCTTATCATAGCATTAAATTCCTTGACCAACTGTGTATGTAATTCCATTCAAACATTACAAGTACAACTCAGGTTAACCCTGGCTCTAAACCTGCTACCATGGTTTCTTTTCCTGCTTGCTTACAAAATCCACTGGCAGTCTAGGTAACAAAATCATAAATATTTAGTAGTATCTTTTTTCCTAAGATTATCACCATTCATATAAGTTTTCCTCAAATGACTATTCAAGCAAACATAAGGGATCAAGTTCGCTTGTATGAAAATAGACTGAACCTAAAAATTTTAATTAAAATTTTTAACTAGGGACCGGAAATATGGCTTAGTGGTAGAGTGCTTGCCTAGCATGCATGAAGCCCAGGGTTCAATTCCTCAGTACCTCATACACTGAAAAAGCCAGGAGTGGTGCTGTGGCTCAAGTGGTAGAGTGCTAGCCTTGAGCAAAAGAAGCTCAAGGACTAACTAAAAATACTATTATTTTTAAAGAGCAAAAGATGGTAAACTTTTTCCTGGGCTATTAATATCTACTCAAAATATCATATATGCTCTTATATGAGGAAAAGACATATTTTCTTTCTACATTATCAGAAAGATCTTATGAAGCAAATTTGTCACTAGTAAAGAAAAAAGTGTAACTTCCCAAGAAGTCAAAAAATTAATGGTCTTTCAAAGTATGGTCTTTCAAAGTATAAGTATTTTCTGCATGGTACCTACTAAAGAAATGAAAACTAGGGGCTGGGAAGGTGGCTCAGTGGTAGAGTGCTTGCCTTGCATGCATGAGGCCCTGGGCTGAATGCCTCAGCACCACATAAGCAGAAAAAGCCGGAAGTGAGGCTGAGGCTCAAGTGGTACAGAACTAGTCTACACCTGAAGAGCTGAGGGACAGCGCCCAGTCCCAGAGTTCAGGCCCCACAACTGACAAAAAAAAAGAAATGAAAACTAGAATATGTGGATTCAAAGAACTTTTTAACTAAAATCTACCTATAAATCAAAAGTACTTATTTACTTTTAAGCAAAGAAAATGTTCAGGTCTTAACTAAGGACTGTGAAGCATCTCTGAAAAATCAAAATGTAAACATCCAAAGTTATATAAAGTGGGAGGAAAAAAGTAATTATTTCTAGGGCAGTACAGCGTTTTCAGTTTTTTATCTTTATTTTGTCAAGTAGTGAGTTACAAATCACTCACACCTGCATTTTGGCCTCACTTTTCCATCATATAAACTTCCTTTAAAATATCATAGAAACAAAAAAAATTTTTAAGGCTGTGTTTATTGCTTGGTTAGACCAACAGACAATTCTCTTAGTCTCTCAAATCAGATTAGGTTACAGATATCTCTACTCTGTATAATTAGAACAAAAGGACTTGCCAACAAATGAAATGTACATTTACTTGTTTGGACTAATAAAATGTTAATTAGAATGTAAAAAGTATGATAAAGTATTATATTTCCTTGTCCACAATGCAAAAAATTCACAGAAATCACTATAATTCAAGTCTTGAGAAAAAAAAAAAACGAGGTAAGAAGTAACATTTTAAGATTTAAAGTAGATTAACAAAGTCAAGAAAAGTGGGCAGAGTGGAAGGAATTTTTGTCTTCCTCAGTGTATTTTGTACTTCTTTTCCACTAGATTTACGATTACAGAAGAACTGCAAACTATAAAGAAGTGCAACATACACTCCCTTACTAAGAATCTTGATCCAATAAGAAACATTTCAATGAAACATGATCTGAATGTAGACATTTAAGCACTGCAATGTGCTGGGATTCTTAATCAACCCTTTAAACCTTGGATGAAGACACCTTCCAAACCCCCCCAAAATACTCACTGGCATTTAGGGAAGAAATCTTGTCGAAAATACTAAGAATTCTCTAACTCAACATAAACCTGAGATGTAAACAGGTACTTTTAAATGTGTATCCAGTCCACTCCATACTTCATCATCTCCACTTAGGCTGTTTCAAGAGGCAAATCAATACTAGCACTAGCAGTTTATGAGCTCCAAAAGTTCGTAGCATCAAGTATGACAGGAAATGTGTTCAACTGTGAACATTAAACTCAATACAGCCTTGCTCGTGAACATTTTGGTTAACAGAACAGTTCTATCATTTTTGCCCCAAACCTATGGGTGCCTAACACTGTACTTCACTGGGAACAGTTCAGATGGTTAAGAAAGGAGTGGGATTCTGACCAAGAGTTGTAAGAAAGGAGTAGGAATCTGACCAAGAGTTGTATGAAAATGAAACAAAACGTTACACTTGGGTCTTCCGGATGTTGAAAAATGAAGCTGTCAAGAGTATTCGAAGGAAGTTGATGTTTATGCTCATTCAGAGGCAGTGGTACCCGTAAGTACGACTTTTGTGGTAGTGATACGGAACTCCTAGGTCCTAGAATAAATGCAAATCCTAAAAATATGGAAATGCTGTTACAAAAGAACACTACAACTCACTGTGGCCAAGAATCAAAGTAACCAAGAGTTAGCAGTAGCCTTTTCCAGCACAGGTCACAATAGTATCTCAACTAAGAACTACGGGGAGGGGGTGGAGGTGTCCTTAACTCGAACTCAGGTCTTCCATGAAAAGTTTTAGCTAGATCTAAGACAGCAAGAGGTGGAGGGGGGGGGGGGGGGGGGCCGGCGGAAGTAAAAAAAAAAAAAACCTAGGGCTGCAACTTCACAGTCAGGGGCGTCTCGGGGAGACTCAGGTCTCTTCACCGCCACCAGGACATCCTCACTCTCGGGATACAGTGACAGGAGCAGCATCACAGTCGCACTCTTCCTTTCGCCCTCCACCTTGCACGGCCTTCGGTACCCCAGGGCCTGCAGGCTCCTGAGGCCCGTTAGCCGGTCCAGGGTTGTTCCCTCCACACACACACTCACACTCACACACGCACGCACAGGTGGCGGATGTGCGTGTCTTGAGATGGTGCAGGGCCAGAGGACCGACCAGCTGCTTGCTGCAGGGAAGGTTGGCAGGGCTAACTAAAAGCGGGCCCGGGCTGCAGGGGAGCCGCCGCGGCCGCCCTCTCCTCCCAGCCCAGGAAGCAGCGCGGCGGCGGCGGCGGCGGCGGCGGCGGCTCCCCGGCGCTGGCGGGAGCCCGGGGGGGAGCGCAGTCCCGGGGAGCCCCGCCGCCCGCCGCCCGGCCCGGGCCCGGGTTCCGGAGCTGCCGCGGCGAGCGGCCCGGGCACGGCGGCGCTCGACGTCCCGTCTGCACCCCCCCTTCCACACCCCCTCCCTCCCTCCCTCCCTCCGCCGCCGCCACCCCCCTCCCCGCCCGCCCCGCTCTCCCTCTCTCGATTGGAGCCCAGACAAAAGCAACGGGAAGCGGCGGGCCGGGAAGCTACCCGCGGACCCCGGGAACCACCGCACCGGCCCGGAGGCATTCCCCTGCCTTGCGGGAGCCCCGATTCCGCTGCCCCCGCCGCGCGCCCCGCTGCCAGACTTCCGAAAATTGGCCAAAAACTCACCGCATGAATTTTCTTGTCCCGCGGATCCAAGATGGCGACGTATCCACCGCGGAGGCTGCTGGGAGCAAGACCTTTACCCTCTGACCCCCGCCGTGACCCCCGTCGCTCCGGCTTCCCTGAAGGCGGCGGCGGCGGCGGCGGAAGGTGGGAGCGGCGGCGGCCCGCTGGACGGGGTTGGGAGCGAGGGGAGGCGGGTGGACCGCTTCCTGCGAGCTGGTGAGCGCGGTGGGAGAGGCGCTTGCGTCCGCCGGCGTCCTCGCCGCGGCTCCTCCTGACGCCGGGAGGCTCGTCGCTCCTGGGCCGCCGTTATAGGCCGCGGGGCGTCGGTGGCGGCTGCCGTCCTTCCCGGGGCCGCTGGGGCTGGGGCCTGCGGGGTCTAGGGGCGGGGAAGGGTGCGCTGGCGTCGGCCCGCCCACCGGCCGGAGCCGAGCGTGTTTGTGTTCCGTGTGGGTGTCAGGGTCGGCGGCCGACACCTGCGAGAACCGGGGCCCCGCTGACGCGCGCTCCCCGCCGCCGCCCTGACCGCTGCCCCCTCTCCTCCCTCAGCCCCTGCCGCGAACTCGACCCGCGCCCGGGCTGGCAGCCGACGCCACCACCGCAGAAGTGAGTTCCCCTCGGGCGGAAGCCACGGGGTCTGCTCGCCCCCCCTCCTCTCTTCCTTTTCGTGATAAATAACACGGGGGAGGGGGGGCGGGAGGAGGAAGTTATCGGCGCCTGGTTCGAAAAGCCCTGGGGTGCCCATCTCCCGACCCGCCGGAGTCGGTTGAGTGCCTTACGCCTCAGATTCCCTTGGGAGCGTTGACCCTGATCGGTGTCGCCAGCCACCAGACTGGGACATGATGATGGCTTGAGTGAAAAACTTCGGAGTGAAGTCTCTGCTCACCAAAAGAATAGTTGTCAAAGTAAAGTTAAATTTCCACACTCCCCCCCCTCCCTCTTTCTTTTCCCCCCCGCAATATAGTTATCTTCTTTTATTTCTTGGTATACCTATAAACTTTTTTTTCTTCTTCCTACATATTTCAGACTTGAAGCCTGTGTGTTTTGAAGCTCTGTAGGTTCATGACGTGCGAATTGTTATTTCTATTTAACTGGCATCCATTTGTTAATGTAAAAGTACGCTGAATCTGGAAGTAAATAAATTTTCTGCTTTCCTGGGTGGTTTCTTTTGTGAAAATCACCTTTTCTTTCCCTTCCCCCCGAAAAACTCCCCACTGTAACCCACCTTAAATTTACCATTGAAGGCCTAAGGCAAGAAATAGTAAGAAAAATAAGCATTCCCTAAAATGAGAGATATCGTCCTCAGCTCTTCAGCTCAAGGCTAACGTTCTACCACTTGAGCCACAGCGCCACTTCCGGCTTTTTTCTTTTTGCTTATGTGGTGCTGAGGAATTGAACCCAGGGCCTCATGCATGCAAGGCAAGCACTTTACCACTGAGCCACCTTCCCAGCCCAACATGTTTTTATTGTAAGGTATTTTTGACATATTCACTGATGTTATATACACCTCAAATAGTGCTGGAGTAGCCTGAGAATGTGTATTGCCAGGTTATTCATTCTCCAGGTTAAACATTCTCCTTTCTATTATTTTGGGAGTTTTTCACTTCCGGAAAATTCAGGACAGACAGACACAATTCTTTATTCCTGTCCCTCCCTTTCTCCCAGTTTTTCCCAACAGTTCTTTTCCTTATTTTTCTTTATCTTCTATCATGCTAATATTTACTACCATAAGGTAGAGTGGAAAGGACAGGATATACTTTTTTGTGTATACAATATGTATAAGTACAAGTACATGTATATATGAATATGCATTATTAAGCATATTGTGCTGTTAATGATTTGGAGCCATAAAAAATAAGTAATAAAGTTGGGTACACTTCCATGTATAGAGAAATATTATAAATATTACTATTCTACGCTTAGTTTGACTTACATATAAGACCTTGTTAAGGCCAAAAGATGTACCATATTTTCACCATGTCTAGTCCTTGATAATAAAGCTGTGTTATCTATTTTCTAGGGAACCTGCAAGATTATTACAGGAAGGAAGAAAAAAATTAATTGGTGAAGCACATTGGCAAATAAAAATACAGCACTGCCATATATTTGGAACAGAAACTTGACTAATCATCTAATTTACTGGAATTTGAATTTTTAGAGTCTTAACTCAAGTGATAATATAAAAGTTCAGTAGTGCATCTTATAAGTAATAATGTGTTACACATTAGTCTTCAGTTGTTATTTTAACAAGTAATTTTCTTGATAGTGCTGACAAAACTTAAAAAAGGGGGCTGAGGTATTTCTTACCCTCAGAATATTAACTGGCAGCATACTGGAGCAGTATGTATCAAAACTTTGAGCATGTGCTCGTGACCCAACAGTTCCTCTTCTAAAAATGTATCATGAAGAAGTAAGGATTCCTGGATTGCCAGTTTTTGCTGCCTTGGGTATACTAGAATAAGCAGTATCTTTTCAATGAATAGCACTCAACAATTGTTACTGTTCATTGATAAAACAGGAACTCATTAGATAATAGAGGAGCCTAGCACTAATGGCTCAGGTCTGTAATCCTAGCTATTCAGGAGGTTGGTATCTGAAAATCATAGTTCAAAGCCAACTTGAGCAGGAAAGTCCATGAGATTCTGTCTCCATATTAACCATCAGAAAGCCAGAAGTGGCACTGTGGCTCAAAGTGGTAGAGTGCTAGCTTTGAGCAAAAGAGCTCAGGGACAGTGCCCAGGCCCTGAGTTCAAGCTCTATGGCCAACAACAAAAAAAATAAAAGAGGAATAGAAATACGTGGATAATTCTAGAAAACAGTACCACATACCTAGTTGCCAAAACTGAATCCTCTTCCCTCCTTTTTTTCTCATCCCCAAATAAGCACTTATTCCTGTATATTTTTCCTTCTAAATCTTCTAAGTTCCAGCCTTAGCTCTTCATTGCAACAGTTATTCTCTTCATCCTACCATTTAAACTTTTGAGTGTGTGTGTGTGTGTGTGCGTGCGTGTGCGTGTGCGCGCGCGCGCGCGCTTGTGCGTGCACACACACATGCCTCAGGAACTGGGCTATGTCCTTGAGCTTTTGTGTTAAAGGCTAGCACTCTACCACTTGAGCCACAGATCCACTTCTGGGTTTTTTGGTAGTTAATTGGAGAGAAGAGTCTCACAGGCTTTTCTTCCCTAGGCTGGCTTCCAGCTGCAATCCTTAGATCTCAGCCTCCTAAGTACTTAGGATTATAGGCATGAACCATCAGTGCCTGGAGATTTTTAGTTGGGGTTTTCTGCAACTCTGTAGTCTTCCAAACTACCACCAGTTTTAGTTGTTTTATTTTTCTTTTTTAGTTTTATTTTCTACACTTCTAAAGGTTGTACAGGACATTAAAATTTCATACTTATAAGTATCCAGTGCTTCTTGAGTGACTACTATATGTCTTAGGAGATTTACTTATCCACTGCATAAAATCATTTTAATGATAATTTTATCATTTTAATGATAATTTTATCACCTATAAATGAAAACACAAACTTTTTTCCAGGCAGAAAAGCAATTTGATTAGGAAAAATAAACAGTTAAGAATTAAGAAATAATTAGCCAGGGTGCTGGTGGCTCATCCCTGTAATCCTAGCTACTCAGGAGGCGAGATCTGAGTATCATGGTTCAAGCCAGCACAGGCTTGAGACTTATTTCTGATAAACCACCAGAAAAAAACTGGAAGTGGCGCTGTAGCTCAAGTGGTAAAGAGCTAACCTTGAGCTGAAGAGCTAAGGGACAGCTCCCAAGCCCAGAGTTCAAGCCCCACAACCAACCAAAAAAAAAGAATTAAGAAATAGCAGAAGTAGCACACAGGTCAGGCTTAATGCTAGTTAAGCACTGTTTAAGCATTTTTACGTCTGTTAACTCGTGATCTTCTTATGTAGTAGGAAATGATAAAACCTGTTACAGATTAGAAACTGTCTACTAGTTCAAAAGAGGGAAGTGTAGACAAAGCTGGTGTGTTAGAGATCGCTTCACCATGGCCTTGTTGAATGACACGTAGTTAAATGTAAATAAATTGAAGAAAACTCAGTAATGGGAGTAGCATGAGCAGAAGACTATTAGTTTGCTAGGGCTCCCATATAAAATCCTTAGTGTGGGTGACTTAAGAAAAATAAATTTATTCCACACAGATCTGGAGACTAAAATACAAGTATTAGGTTTTTTCTGAGGACCTGTCTTGGCTAGCTGATGGCTATCTTTTTTCAAGTGTCTTCACATGGTCTTCCTTCTGTCTTGGTCTGTGTCCTAACACTTTTTATAAAGACACTAGCCTTTTGGGATTAGCTCTTACCCATGTAACCTCACTTTACCTTAATTATATCTTTACAAACCATGTTTTCTGTCCTTATTTGTGTGTGTGTGTGTGTGTGTGTGTGTGTGTGTGTGTGTGTGTGTGTGTGTAATGTCCTTTATCGTCTCAGTAACTTCTTTTCCCCACCCCCTCCCCATGTTCCCCTGCCATACCTACCTCCCCCTTTTACATTCATAACATGATAATCATCATTTTTGGTCTATACTCCACAAATGAGTGAAAACAATATTTGGCTTTTTGAGCTTGGTTTATCTCAACATGATCTCTAGTTTCATCTGCTACACATGACATTTCTTCCATTTATGGTGGAGTAATATTCCAGTGTGTATGTGTGTGTGTGTGTGTGTGTGTAAACACATATACTTAGCCATTCATTGTACACCTCAACTGATTTGACAATTGGGCTGTTGTGAACAGCTACAATAAACATGGGTATACAGGAATCTTTCTTGTATACAGATTTACTCCTTCAGATGTATGTCCAAGAGTGGTGTGGGATGGGTCCTTTTGGTAGTTCTATTTTAGCTTTTGAGGAAGTGCATACTGATTTCCATAGTAGTATTACATTCCCACCAGCAGCATATGAAGTTTCCTTTTTCTTTTTTTTTTTGTCGGTCATGGGGCTTGAACTCTGGGCCTGGGCACTGTCCCTCAGCTCTTCAGCTCAAGGCGAGCGCTCTACCACTTGAGCTACAGCGCCACTTCCGGTTTTCTAGTGGTTTATTGGAGAGAGGAGTCTCACGGTCTTTCCTGCCCGGGCTTGCTTTGAACCGCGATTCTCAGATCTCAGCCTCCTGAGTAGCTAGGATTACAGGCGTGAGCCACCAGAGCCCGGCGAAGTTTCCTTTTTCTTACATGCTGGCCTACACGTTGTTGCTTGTTTTCCTGATTGCCATTCTGACTGGTTTTCTTTGTGGCTAAGGATGTTGAACATTTCTTCATGTAATATTAACCATTACAAATACAGTTTCATCTTGAGATACCAGGGATTAGGACTTCAACATATGAATTATGTTGGGGAGGGCACAATTCATCCCGTAACACACAGGGCAGCAGAATTCAACATAAGCCAGTAAGTCAGAATCAGAGAGGTCTAATAGGATTTAGACAGACCAGTGTGATGGAAATTTGGAGTGCTAGGGATGATATGGATGATTATTGGTACGAACATTTATAAGTAAATCACTCTATTCACAGATTTATCTTTAACCCAAAAAAGAGGAGGAAATCACTTGTTAAAATAGTTTGCCATTAGATGTGGTATCAGATCTTTTGTCACCTAACGTATCCCACTAAAATAATAGTTATATATCAACATAGTTCAAGGTCAATGTAAATTTTTTCCATTCACATTAATTTCTTACAATAAACATTTCCTGTGCAATGCAGAAGAATCAAAGACTATTTTGTTAATTAGCCTTTGTTAAAAGTACCATTTTAACATTAAAAATATCTTAAAATATGAGTAAAGTGTCTTCTCAGTTAAAACACCAGTTATTACACACATTACATATGAATTACAAGTATCTTCAGTTAAAAAATTAAGCCAAGTATGGCACTGCATACCCACCTACTTGAAAGTTGGAGGCAAAAGTATAGCCTGGACAAAGTTAGCAAGACCCTGTACAAAAACAAAAGACTTGGAAACCCTGCATTCAATCTTGAGTTAACTCCCAAGAAGAGGTTTTAGAGAAATATATAACAGTAAATCAATTTTAAACACACATAGTTAAATCTGTTTAAAAGGAACTCATGGTTATATAGTAAAATAGTGAAAGTAACTTGTATATTCACTCCAGTTTTAATGGAAGAATTATTTATATCTCTTAAGAAGTAATGGTCTTAGGACTCATCAAAATGATAAATATTAGCCTATTTTTTAAAAAACAAAACTTAAGCTTATGGCAAAATTACATTCAGTATAAATGAAAACTAAACGAGGTAATAATAAAGTCTATAGATAATATAATTCTAGAAAAATCTTGGGCTTGGAAGAAACGACATAAAAATCCTCTACTGCAGACTGTTAATTCTATAATTCTTAGGCTCAAGAACTCTTTTTATGTTTAAACTCAAATTTCCCAATGGTTTTTTTTTGGCCTTATTTTTTGAAAATGTTCATATTGAAAATATTTCATGGATGGAACATAGCTGAGCAATAGATGATACAATCTTACTTGGTTTCCTGTTGCTAATCAACTGTATCACACAGTTTGTGAAATAAATTTCTGAAGAACTAAATGTGTAGAACATACTACAAGGTACAAGAAGTAACCTAAAACAGTATGGTAACCTACATCTGAATCAACCTACTTCTGAGTGCATGTAAACATTTATCATAATGAGGAGAAATCAATAAAAGGAAACACAATTCAGCTCTGAAAGGATTAAATAGAAGTTCTGACACATGGTTTCTTCTAACCTTCCTACATTACATTACAATACCAGGAAAGAAAAGTCTGGCTCAGAAACTACACATTTGTTTAGTACACATCAGAAACAACATTTTTGAAATGAAAACTAAATGATTTAGTCAACAGTTAAAGAGCAGTTTGTTTTAAAAAAAGGAACTTGCTGTGGATTATGTGGTTAAACATAAATAGTATTAGTTCTCAAAACCTGCATTGGAAATTTTCTGTGAAGCCCCAGATGATTTAAACAATAGTTCTGAATATAAGTAAGTCTTCAGTAAGACAAATGTTTCACTGAATTAACAGGACCCATTAAATGACTAAAGTTTAAGAAAAATTGACAACAAATTCAGGATGCTAGTATTAAGCTTTGAAATCATTCAAAATATACAGGACAAGAAGAGTTTAGCTTGTCTACCCAATCTG